TGTCTGGGCTGGTGTCAGCCAGCAGGAGGGCGAGTTCCTGTAATACAAGGAATTAATTATCTGTGTATAATATTTATGAGTCTAAAAACATCTTCTGACTGCAAATCCGGTCGGAAAAAAATAGAATCAAACTGCCTATATTTTTAATTCCAAAAACTAAGTTTGTTTAAAAAAAAAAAAGCCAAATCTCTCAGTTCTTCACTAGCCATATACGCTTTTGACAGTGAAATTCTCATTTGAAAGAGAACCAGTGTCACCATCTTCGACTTCTCTACAGTCAGGTCTGTCCGATTACCCTACTTCTCAGTACCGTTCTCTACTTTTAAACCTTAAAATCTTAGATTATTATAAATAGTTTAGACTCAAGACAGTTTGGTACCCTCATACATGCTAGTGATTGCACTAGTGATAGAAATTTGGAACTTCTGAGGTAAATGAAGGTGCAAACATGTCAGAAACAGATGGCCAAAACTGGTGTTTTCTGTCCTTTCGCTTAATTTTACCTTTATACCTGGGAGTGGAACTATCACCAGTTTGTTTAGCTCACAATAGCTTATCTCTGTTTCCCAGAAGTTGCAATTTTTGTTTGTTTGCATGAATATGGGGCTGTTCCTATGCACTCAAAATACCTTTGATCGAAAGCACAAAAGTGAAAGTAATCCATGTTGGTAAGAAACACATCAATTTGTTTTTATCCTCTAGTATAAGGTTCAAGAAGGAACTGTTTAGATCCCTCCAACTTTCTGCTTCACCTGGGAATATACTTGATAAGTTGGTACCATGTAATAATAGTTATGAGAGCATAACTCTTGAAATCAATATATTCTTTCAGTCTCTGTAAATACTGTTCTTGAAACAATGAGGTAGCTCCTTCACCCTTATTATAGGTCCATGTTGTAGAATGAGATAATGCAGTGGCTTTATTTTCAAGGAATTAAGATTAATTTCAGTACTTCATTCCAGTTACTTCACTTCCATGAAATGTGTCTAGCTTTGGCAAGTGCAGAGGAAAAAACACATGGCAGGCAAATACTAATTAATTAGTGTTCCAAATATAAAATAAAACTGGGTTTAGAATACTCCTGCTTTCTTTCCACTGAAATTAGAAGCCAATCCCACTGGATAGAGATGGTTATCCAGTATAACTCTTCAGAAAAGCTTGATGCAAATGTTAAATATTTAATGAGGGGCCCATCTCAGGAATGGGAATCTCCATCCATATATTTCGTATTCAGTTTAAAATACTGACAAAGGAGTTAATAGCATTTAGACTCAAACATCTTTCTACATTGAATTCAATTTAGATGCCAGCAATCTATAGTAACAGACATTTTTTCCAATGTCTCGGGTGGTTGCTTTGTTTTTTCTTTCCTTTTTCCTGGCTTCCCCTTCAGTTCGTGATCTTTTAGTTCCTGAAGAATTCAAACAGCAAAAGGATTCTGTTAATGGTCCACATGAAACATCTTCAAAATAAAAGCAGCACTGGTGAAAATGATGCATGGAAGAGTATTATCTCTCACCTACCTAAACTTACAAGCACTAAGCAAGTGCATACAGGGCATGAGCGACAGAGAACTACAGCTGTATCAGTCCAAACTTTGTGGTTGGACAAAAGGGTTGGTGAAATGAAATGAACATTCAGTATATTATTAGAATACTCAAACACTCGTATATAAACTTTGGATAACAAGGATTTACAAGCAATTCTACAAGTGCTAGATTGAAATATTTAAATTGTATTTTGCCTCTTACCTCTCTGGAAGGTGCCAGTGGATGGAACTTACCTGGTTACTTAGTTTTCTGCTCTGTTGGGCAACTGCATCGTATATGCCTCTTCATAATTTTTTTTTTCTAAACTCTTGCTTAAAAGCTGGTAAGTTGTTTGCCCCCACTCTTCTTCAAGCAGGAAGAAGTGGGCATTCTCTCACAGTCGAGGAACTGTGATGTGATTAGAATAACAGAGACTTGGTGGGATAGCTTACATGACAGGAGCACTGGCAATGATGGGGTACAAACTGTTTAGGAAGGACAGGCAGGGAAGAAGAGGAGGAGGAGTTGCACTGTATGTAAAAGATCTGTATGATTTCTCAGAGCTTCAGTATGAAACTAGAGATAGGCCTGTTCAAAGTCTCTAGGTTAAAGTTAGAGGGGAGAGCAGCAAGGCTAATGTGGTGGTGGGCATCTACTATAGATCAACAGACAAGGAGGACAAGGCTTTCTTCAGACAACTAGTGGAGGTTTCCAGATGGACCTTGGTTCTCATGGGGGACTTCAGTCACCCTAACACCCTAAGGAGACAACTTCCTTGTGCACAAGTCAGAGAAGACCAACTGGGGGCCATGCTCTTCTTCACAGTTTGAGCAGTAGGTCAAGAATTAGTGGCAGATGTAGAAGTGGACGGCAAGTTGGGCAGCAGTGACCACAAGATGATCTAGTTCAGGATCCTGACAAAAGGAAGAAAGGAGAGCAGAAGAGTATGGATCATGGACTTAAAAAAACCAGACTTTGACTCCCTTAGAGAACTGGTGGGCAGGATACCCTGGGGGCTAGCACTGGATTTAGGACCCAGATACCTTGTTCTGTGGGGACCCAAAACCCTCAGACTGACTACGACCTGTCCATTCAATAATAGGCAAATGTATCGATACACAGTGATAACAGAAAAG